GCGTCCAGTGTCACTCTCAGGGTTGTCACGGACGACGGGCGTTGGACTGATTTATTGCCCGCTCTCATACAGATCAGTGATTGGCCCGATCCATGGCAACAGTCATGTGACATGTGATAAAACAAATACAAAACAACAACGGAGGTCGAAGGCAAAAACATATTTCTACAACAATTCAAGTTTGCATGCATCCACGCAATTAACGCATCCAGTCCAGAAGACACTCCTGATCAGTTACTGTATAGCAGGAAATTTTCGGACGGAATTTATTTTCGTACGATTTCGTACATGGCCTCTTTTGTACGAAAATGAATTCCGTACTTTTAAATTTTGTTCCTGTGAAGTTTTGTACACTATACGTGCGTACCGCATGCGAACACGTGCATTGAGCATGCAGCACTGGTACGAAAATAAAATCCGTACGAAAGGTCGAAATTCGGCTTTGTCCGAAAATATTTCCGTCCGAAAATTTCCTGCTGTGCAGTATCATGTGAAGTGTCTTCTGTACTGGATGCGTTAGTGGATGCATGCGAACTTGACTTCTTCTAAAAATCCAAATCCAAACGCATAACAAAAGTGCTACACATTTTCACATTAAATTTTTTTGTAAAGCAGTCGTTTTCATTTTTTTTCATTTTCGCAAAGCAGTTTTAGCAAATTGCGCTGCTGCGAGTTTGTGTGCTCCATTAGCGCGTGCTCAGTACAAAACGCGGGGAACTGTTAAGTGAGAAACTTTCGCTAGAGATTAAATGTCGCTATTTTTGCAACCATCACACATTTGCGAATATAAATCGCCGCAAACGTCTCCGGACATTGATTGTAGGCCGTGCAAGATCCGACTGAAGAGATAGAATCGCAAAAGTTTCTCATCGTGAAGCAGCCCAATTCATGAAAACGCAAAACTTGCGCGCCGCGAAAGTTTATCGCTTTACAGTAAGTCCAGTAGGTATCAGTTATAGCGTGGGTGTTTGAAAAACGACTTTCTATTCTTATTTCCTGTCCCCGGGGAAAATCGCGATTCCGCGGCCGCGTTTTTTGCGATTTTTTAAAAGACCGCGTTTTCCGCGATTTTCCCCGCGTTTTTTGAACTTTTTTGTTGCACTACACGTACACAGAGTGCACTGTTCGGTCAGCAACGTCTCATCGTGGCGGCTTTGTAATCAAAAATGACGAGTCCTTACACCAGAGACTTGTAACTGATTGATTTCACTACATCTTGTTAAGAAGACCACCTGGTAGCAGAGACCAGGTTTTAAAGGTCCCTAGCTTGAGCGGTCGTCTTAGACAGGTTTCTCTGTAGATGTGAGACGTACCTTCCGCTCCCTGGGTTCCACGACTCTAACAGCGTCACAAGTCAACATGCAAGAAAGTCACACACGCACGCACGCACGCACACACACATAGAGGACTGTACAACAACTCACCCGGTCTCGGTTCGGTTGGAGGGTGAGGACCCGGAACTGGTGCCTGTTCGGTGGACACCCTTGTGTGCATGTGACGACGGTGTTGGGTGAGAATCTGCCGTACGTGTTTTGTGATCATGTTTAGTGGTATGTGCATGCGACGTCTGGGGTGAGTTCAGCTTGTGTACCTTGGGATACTGGTGAGAATCTGCTGTACGTGTTTTTTGATCATGTTTGGTGGCACGTGACGGCAGCATTGCTGGTGGCGATGATGATGGAAACAGCCACATCCACGCTGTGTCACGCTTGTCGCCATCTGTGCTTGTTGCTGGGTGACTACTGGAGTGTTGAGCGGTGTGCACAGGTGAGCTAGTCACGCGCGGTTGGTCACGACCTCCCCACGAAATGGTGTGTGTTGCTGGTTTGTCGTCATGTTTAGCAGTGGTCGGACGTGATGGCGATGGTGGTCGTAGGTCCAACTTAAATACCTTGGCAAGCTTCCCTTTTGTACCCTGTTGTTGTTGTTTCAAATCTCTATTCCCACGTTGTTGTTGTTGTTGTTGTTGTTGTTGTTGTCGTTGTAGGAGTTCCTCTGACCGTTTCTGATGCCGAGACCGAAGTTGTTGGACGCGGTGTTCACCCAGCACTTCCTCTAGTGTCCTAAACCTGGCACCGCCTGACCCGTCTCCATTCATGTGCTTCAAAAGCTTCGCCAAGCGGTCGTCCTGCCCATGGCGGTTGCGATTTGCTTCGCTTTGCTCTCTTTTCTTCAGCTGTTCGAGGACGTCTGCCGATGATCTGAACGTACAGGTGCCTGGTCCGTTCTTCTCTATTGCATCCAGCAGGCGCTGGCACCCTGGCTGCTCAGCAGCATGGGGATGATCACTACTGGACTGGTCCGTCACGGCAAGCCGCCGGCCACACAGCACGCCGGGCATACAGCTGCGAGCAATCCAAGCACCGCCTAGAGACGGTGCTGTTGCGGCGGCGATGGTGGTGGTGTGCTGCTGTTGAACCATCAGCGGCTGCCTTACTTTACACAGAGCAGCATGCAGGGCCATCCTTGCATTACTCAGTGCGTCCAGCAGCAGTTGAGGCAGCAGTAGAGGCAGCAGCAGCAGCAGCAGCGGTGGCAGTAGCGTTAGTGGTGACAGTTACAGGCAGTGGGATTTGCCGCTGTGCTCCTGTAGCTGTCACTCGAAGTCTTGAGTCTCCACTGACCCACTGTCTGTAGCTGTTACTCGAAGTTTAGAGTCTCCACTGAGCTGTGGATATGGATGACTAACCCCTGCTGTGCTGGCCCAGGGAAGGTAATGCTGACCCTGTTGAGGCACGGGGCACTACAGGGCTCTCTGGATGCGCGCTGCAACACAAGGATGTGTCCCGTATTTTACCGGCTTGGTCTGCCACTTGCTGGATACGTCGCTCCCGTCAGCCGACTGTGAACGGCTCGGCCCGACGCACAGCTGTATGCTCAGCACATCAATGACGGCCACCTGTTGTGCTGCAATGCTCCGACGGCAGCACTACACACACACACACACACACACACACACACACACACACACACACACAGACATACTGGTGCACACACACGTTCCCACACAAACACGTCCACAGACGGGTGCAGAAAATTTAATTTCTTCCACCTCCCAAAAATCAGCTTGTCTGGGTGATATTTTCGTCCAAGAATGTTGAAGCCTACTGGAAGGCTAGACTATTACCTTCAAATCCCGCCAGAACGCCCCGTCTCCCCCAGGCGCCCCTCCCTGACGTATCATCGTACTACTCTGTGAAGTGTGATGCCGTACTGCACTACAGACGCGTGCTCGACCCGATTGGAAATGTACGCAACAGTTCACACCCTCTTGACCAGAGGGATCGCACAAACCCTGGGTTTTTACGGATTTGCACGATGCCCTGCTCTTGACCTCTGGTTGGTGTAGGAGACGCACGCACAGTTTCCGTAGGGTGAGTACTTGTTCATATAGTACTGAGTGCGGCCAGTAGGACTCGCCCATCCGCCCCTCCCCACCTGGACCTACCAGAAGGGTCACGGAGGTAGGAGCACTCTGGCGGGATTTTGTGGTACTCCTGCATTTTAAAGAACTTTGGACTAAATTAAAAAATTTAGTCCAAAATTCTTTGGACGAACACGACAAAATTTAATTCCAGAAGAATATTTCTGCGTGTACTGTATCCCAACCCTTCGGGGTAGATGTCGTTCAGAAGGGGTTTGAATAAGGGAACTTTTTGGAATACTATACATGCTCTGCTCTACGCTGCGGGAACACGATGCGAAGAAGTCCCTTGCTCGCTCTTCTCGTTCCCGTAACGTGTAACCTGCTGTGCTCTGCGCACTCGCAAAGACATCAAGTGCAATAATGTGTACTGGGAATCTCACGTTTCAAGATAAACTTATTTTCATTGCCCGCAGATTGTCTACTACTGTAAGACCAGATATTTTAACGTCAACTAAAGTTAACGATGTCCGGACTTTTGTGCGCTAGCGAGGTGAAATTCTAACGAATTCTGTCTCAAAACCGGCAAATGACTGTACATGTGCATATCGTTTTGCACATAACGACTTCAAATGTTAACGATTCTTTCAAATTCATTAACTCGTTAGAATTAAATGTTCGTTAACATTACTGGTCTTTAAAAGAGTATTACGAGGAAGGACCCGCATACATGTACACTGATATACAGCTATTTCTACATAACGACTTCAAATGTTAACGATTCTTTCAAATTCATTAACTCGTTAGAATTAAATGTTCGTTAACATTACTGGTCTTTAAAAGAGTATTACGAGGAAGGACCCGCATACATGTACACTGATATACAGCTATTTCTACAGCTGGCTGCAAGTACAAGCAAATTTCGCACATCGTGACTCGATTCTCGCCTCACAGCAGGCACTGGACTGCGATCCATAGGCAATCAGGTGCAAACATGCTCGTGCTAAACGAAGGTCGAAAGACTTTTTTTTGGGGGGGGGGGGTAGTACTCTTCCCCACTTTTCAGACAAATTGGCACCACCAACTCTTGACCGCGTGTCCACAATGACGTAACGCTCAGTTACATATCAACAAAAAAACCAGTGCTGTGTGAGATAGATACAGACCTCGCTTATCCGGAAGAAAATAACTGGTTACAAATTTACAACATACGTGATGCATCCAACATAACCGGTGTTCGGTTATCCGGTTCCCTCGCCTATCCGGATATTATTTTTTTGTGGAAAACGGATGTGCACGGTTAAGCGAGGTCTGACTGTACCAGGGGAGATATTAGAGGCACTTGCCTTGACGTATTCCTGTTATCGACCTACAAGTACATGTAGTTATACATCAATTAGAAGTTTCTGCCCACAGAATCCACTTAACCCTTTGGCTTCCATGGTTCGATTTCGAACCATGGGCATTTTGTATGCATGTGGGTGCAGTCAAACTTTCGGTTCTCTGCCAAATCTTGACCAAATTTCAACAATAGAAGGGTCTAGGTGGTAGAAAAAACTCTCAGCTATCGCCTCGAACAGGTCCGAAGTCTCTCCGATGAGGTTTGAGTGAGCTGCAAGCGATCGAACATTTCGAGTTTCTACGCTGCGTGCTGCGAGTCAGCAGTGCGTTAAAAAAGGGATTTTCCCAGCTTCACGACAGGCGGCACGTGCCAGGACCGGCGCGGCGCGAAGTCACGGCAAGGTAAGCTTCTACACGAATAAATTTGAACAGTTCCGAGCTAGATTCAGCGAAATGGCTGCAGGAGACCAATTTCGTCTCAGATCTGGAGTTGGACTCGCGTTTGGAGCGCGCTGTGGCGGACAATGAGTAGTGCTCTTGGCGAGTTTGGGCTCATTGTATTTCTCTCATCAAGAGCTTTCCAACGAGCCCAAGATCTTCAAAATCGGTGAAGTAGAGCCAAAGTTATGTTGGAAATTGAGTGCGGATTTTCGTGACTGCCACAAATTCTGAGGAAGCAAAAAAGTTATGGACTCCAAAGGGTTTAAAGGGTGGGAGTTCATACTTAGAAAATAGGGACATTTAGCAATGCGAAAATTCGAACTTTTGGTGGTGGCGATATTTCGCGAAAATCTATTTCGACAAAGAAAACTTGTGAGGTTTAGCAATGCAAAACGACTTTTTCTCGAAGCTATTTAAATCATAGTACAGTACCATATATGCAGCTCAGTCTCAAGCAGGGGGCTGTAAAATTACTACTCCCTGTAGTCAAATGCGTACCATATATGCAGCTCAGTCTCAAGCAGGGGGCTGTAAAATTACTACTCCCTGTAGTCAAATGCGTACCGAGAAAAGAGAAAGTTACTTTCGCAAATCACTGCAACTTCGCGTCCAAGTTTTCGAAGTTTCGACCTTTGTTTCTGTACTCATTCCCAGACTCGGATTTTCTTTCGAACTTTCGCGTTGCTAAACGTCCTTAATGTGTGGGATTTGTGCTGATAATTCGAAGTTAGCAAAGCACAATTCGAAGTTCACTTTATTTTTCAACAAGTCAGTTTCGTTTGCATGCGCAGGCAGTTCAGCATCCACTAGATCTGTGTCCAAGGTGCGTAGTGCAACTCTGCGTGACAAAGCGAGAATTTGATGTACATAATAGAGAGGGTCTGCAAGACGAAAATTCGAACGAAGTTTCGCGACAGGCCTTACGAAAATGTGTAGGAATCTTCGCACGAACTTTGTGTTCTGCATATTTCCGTAGTTTGCACGCGCCAAGGGCACGTACGCCATGACCCCATCTCACGGAATTAAAATATTTCCCCACAAAAGTTCATTTTGCGTTCCCTGCAAGTTTCGCGTCCAAAGTTGCGAAAGTTCGTGCGAAGTTTCTCACTTCATGACGTAGAGCGAAAGCTTGTACGCATTTTCGTTTTGCAAACCTCTCTAATGGGCCATTCACACTACGCCCAAAACGTGGCGTACGTGACGTTTTCGTCCAGATAGCCATGACAACATGGAACGTGGCGGGAAAATCGTACCCCTGATACGAAAACGTAGACGACGTATCCAGACCCCTGTACCGAGTTTCGTTCTGTCGTTCCCAGCAGTTTTTGTCCAAAAGAAGCTGTACACACAGCTGTACGAGCAACGTGTGCATGCCTGTGTGAATGCACCTGCATGAAAACGACGTCTGCCAATACGTCGTATTCCAAGACGTGACGCATATTGTAACGCAGTATGAATAGCCTATAATGTATTGTTTTTTTTGTTTGGCGCCTATATTTGGCATCTCTAATGTATTGTGGATACCGTACATGTTTGGATAATTAATACGTTCCGATATAAGTACATTAGTCGACCTTATGCCATTTGTACAGATCCATGAAATCGTAGAAAATCCCGTAGAATCCCGTAGACCCGGTAGGATGTTCATTGTGTGCTATGCATGCGCATTTGACCTTTTTAGCGTCATAATAAATAAATGACCAGCAATCGCTTTTCCAGCTTCTTCACTTTGGTTAGAACTTATGAATAGCTAGATCTTTGTCAGAAAAAGTTTTCGTATGAAATGCCTTCAGGCCCCATTTCTTAGTGGAAATAGCAGAAAACGGTACGCTTCCCAACGGCCAAAGAGAGTTGGAAAGCTTGTGTCTTTGTGGGTAACTTGAACATTTGGGCTCATGCAAAATCGCACCGATTTTGGGATTTCCCCACAACTTTTTGCATCAGCAAAAATGTTGTGTTGGACCGCATGCCTGTCACTTCGCAGTGGCTTTTCGTTGGTGCAGTTTGTATCCCACCCTCCCACCCCTGACTTCTGGGTGTGTGTTTATCGATATAATTATCGTATTGGTTTTCTTATTGGCCATGTGGCTGTTGCAGTTACGACTGCTTTTCTTTTTTAGTTAAAAAATGTAGGGGTGGTGTGTGCGTCGTGGGCCATTGTATGGTTACATACAGCTTCAGATTGTATGGCTAGTGACATGGGGGTTGAGTCTGCAGGGGAAGAATACAGTGATTGAACTGAAGCTGGATGATGACCGTGTGGTGAGTGTATGGGGGTTTCGAGATGCCGTCCTGGGGCAAGGATGTCGGTCCTTTAGCTTGGACGGGTGTTGTTACATTCATTGTAACATTTTGTTGTTTTCTGTGCGTTTTGCTGTGCGACTACAGTAGCAGCAGTGTCTTGTGCTATTTTTTTCTTATCAGGCCCTATGCGTACAATTATTCAAGAAAAAAAATTCAGGAAGGAGATATAATAATATCAATAATAAAGCCATTGCCGAGCCACCGTGCTCACAGCAGAGACTTCTGTGTGTGTTATTGTTGTGAAGTGGACCACAAAGACACAACAGGGTCCTGCACATTCAACACCCTACCGGGTCTACGGGAGTCTACGGGATTTCGTGGATCTGTACAAATGGCATAAGGTCCATTATATAGTTGTAGAAGTTTTTCCCTGGCATTTTGGGGTTCGAATTATCAGGATTCAACCTGTAGCAGAAGCGCCTAGTATCACTAGTAAGCGGCTTAGCCTGCAAGTCTTTCCTGCCACACACAGGCGCGTATATCTGCTCGTATCGGTGGGTTGTAGGGATTGAAACTTTGAAATCATGAACATTTTCTTTTGATTCCGAACACTACCACTGGGCGGGCGTACCTTTTCATCAAAGAAATCGGTAGATCCACTGGTCGCGACCAGAAGAGAACATCAGCAGGAACAGTCACTGATTCAGGATGAGGCACTCCACTGCGTGCAGTACTGACTCTACAGCAAAAGTAGCATTTCTTCTCAGTCTACTACTTCTTCTTCCTGCACGCACGTGTTGCTTTCTTCCAAAAACCAAAAATTCTTCTTCTTGTACTTGTAGATCTACTTGCACGTGCGCACGTGCTGTCGATGTAAAAAAAACCGCCAAAGCGCCAAGTGCAAGTGATCGTGAACTGAGGTGTCCCGTCACTTCGGAGCGTGACGTCTCGTCGCGCGACATTTCGAAGCGGTCATTTCGAAGACAGTCAGTTAGGAACGGGGACACTTCGGAGTGTGTCAAATTCGGCGCCAGACGATTCGACGAGAACCAGTTCGGAGAATGGCCACGACATCGCCTGTTCATTTCGTCGTCACACCCGCTTTTGCTGGGAGAAAAATCGCACTTCTTTTCGCCTGTTCATTTCACGACTCTCTGGTTTGAACTTTTCGCCTGTTCATTTCAGGACTCCCTGGTTATAACTCTACACCTCCGTCCTTCAAAAGCAATGGCTTTTGCTGGGAGAAGAATCGCACCTCTTTTCGCCTGTTCATTTCGCGACTCCCTGGTTTTAACTTTACACCTTCGTCCTTCAAAAGCAATGGCACCAGACTAATAACCAGTGATTCTTGTCGAGGTCGACGATGGCTGAGG